ATACAGGTAATAAGAAACATTAAACAGTAAGTGGTAATTTAGTAAAAATTAAAAAAAAATCTTTCTTGCTTAGTTATATACAAGTGAGATTTTTTAATCATTGGCTTTGTTTAAAACAGGGGAAGTGTATTCAGGAGGCTCGTGCGACGTGTTTACAGAGTTAATTGGTGCAAAAGGAAAAGATGTGTTATACGTTGGTGACCATATATTTGGCGATATTTTAAAAAGTAAGAAGATAAGAGGATGGAGGACATTTTTAATAGTTCCAGAATTGGTTCAAGAGTTACATGTTTGGACCGATAAGTGTCAATTGTTTGCCGAATTACAAAGTCTGGATGTTATGCTCGGGGAAATGTACAAGTGAGTAGTAATAATAACAAATATTGTATAAAATATTTAAAACATGCTGTCATTAACGTCATATCAATTGCCTTGTTTAGAAATTTAGATAGTAGTACAAAGGAAAAGCCAGATATTTCTAAGTTACGTGCGTCTATAAGAGATGTCACGCACAAAATGGACTTAGCTTACGGCATGATGGGCTCTCTATTTCGCAGCGGAAGCAGACAAACATTTTTCAGTAGTCAAGTCGTGAGGTACGCCGATTTATACGCGGCGACTTTCTTAAATCTGATTTATTATCCTTTTTCATATATGTTCAGAGCACCTGCTATGCTAGTAAGTTGTATGCTATATTTGGAATATATGATTTATATGTTGTATCTTATTCGTGTGAGACAGTCATAGATTTTTCTTATCACACTTTCAGATGCCTCATGAAAGTACAGTGGCACATGAACAAAGATTTGTTATGGAAACACCAATGATAAGCCGTTCAAGAACGTTTAAACTGGCAGATGAGGAAGAAGAACATAATCGGCCTTCTTCCGTAAGTATTTCTAAGAACATCAAGATTATGAGAGAGGGCTTTGCCTACAAAAACGATTGCCTACAGTTTCGTTTGCATACAACGATATTGCAAATAGTTTACAACACAGCAATATTGCAAATAACACTTTACATATAGCACGTCTTGCAAACGAAAGTATAGGTAATCGTTTTATAAGCAAACGGAGCCCTATAATTTTGTAGGTAAACAGGACTCTCCAATTATTATTAATTGATCAAAATGGAAATAATGCATTTTCTCTTTTTTTGTTTAGAAAAATTTATATGTAGATCATTTCAATAATCAAATTCCACATGCAAGGCCAGAAACGCCACGTAATGTTACACATACACACGATGAAGATTGTAGTGATGAAGATAGTGATTCGCAGAAACAAGCTAATCAATTGAGAGTATCTAGAAACGTAAATTGCAATTAAAGTTATATTTTATAATACTCAGTGCTATTTTTTATCTTGTATAATTGAAAGTGACTGAAAAACAAAACGATTAATGTACAATATATAGAATTTTGTTTCAAAGAATCATGTTGCATATGACGCGTTTTAACTGTGCTAATAATTAATATTTAGCCCCAAAGTATATATATATGGTAATTTATATTTTTTAAAAGATGAAACTTGGCAATATTTGTATTGATCGATTGCTCAAAAGAGCATTTAATATTATAGTTTTGTAGTTGGTATATTGTTATGTAATAATTAGCGCACAAATGTCCATATTATGAAACATTTAGATTTAAATATAATATTACACATAACATATGTAATAGATTTTATTAGCATATTGTATATGTTGTATATTAACTTTACATGATTATACATATATATGATTATATATATATATAAAATATTAAGGCTGAGGAGTATTATATTTGAATTTTGATAGTAAAAAACATCAACGATTTTAAATTTATTGTAAAATTGAATATCAGCCAGCACTTTTTATATGCAATGTAAACTTATACTGAAAAAATAATCGAAATAGAAGTTGAACAAAAAACTCGATGAATTGTGCAATTTAGGTTAGGTGTACAGAACAAATACAAAATATAATCTTATACAATCATTCTTCGAATTAATAATTACATAAGTACTCGATAGATAATAATTTTAATTGATTAGATAAAGATAAAATAATTAACAGTAATTCTGACAGGAGATATCAACAAATAATTACTAGAAAATTAGATGAATCTTTACACTGGCAAAAATAAGACAATATTTGATTTATTGTATAACAATATTTGATTTATTGTATACAATCAAATTATAGGATGCATTGTAAATTGTCATTAAATACAATAGAAAAAAAATCGAATACAAACGAATGTTGATCTGTTAGTATGAAATTAACAATACACACATACACAAAGTAATAAAATATTCCATAATTATGTATACAGTCTGTCAAGTAAGAGTGTGGTTGCGTTGTGTGGAAAACGTGTGGGCGTACATTAAGCACAAGCTTGTGTGGAAAACACACTTTGAAGCAGCTATCTCACGAGATTCGTCAGATTTGGAAAGCCTTATCGTTAAAATACGCCGTCAATTTAGTCAAAAGTATGCTTTGAAGATGCCAGGCAATTATTGACGCTGTTGGTGACTGGACGCATTATTAAAGTGATTGCATCTTTGCTTTGATCGAGTAAAATGAATATATGTATTTAAAAATTTTATTTAATGCATTTTTTTTAATAAATTGACTCGATCACGCTCTTATTTGACAGTCTGTAAATATTTTAAGATTTGAAAGATATCCCAGATAGCAAAATGTTTGCAGTCTTCTAGCAGACTGTCAGCAGGTTTGAGCAGAAAATGACAGCAGCCTACTATCAATTGCGTCTGCATTAGGCTTGTGTTCTGTTAACATTGCCTGTCGATATAATGTGAAGGCAAATTGTTGGCAGAAACTGAGCAAATCCTGCCGACATTATCTGACGCTTGCAAATACTGTTACGTTTTTTCTAGCAGTCTGTCAATAGTATTATGTATATCTAATTCTGTTGTTATTTTGTTGGCATAGTGTAGCAGCATTTAAAAAAATCTGCTTTCTACAGATTTGGCTATCTGGGTATTCCAAACAGTTTTTTGTAAACAGCAATATATAGTCTCTATTCGTACAACTTATCAAATTTAATTACTTCTTTGCAGGAAAATAATTTGTTACTATATATTAACAGTAACATATTGGGTGCATTCACTACCGCTCACTGAGCGTTCAGTGAGCTCTTGCATTTCTAATTAGTATATTCCAATAGATCCAAACATATAGGCCAAAAGCAAACAGATGCAAAAGCATACTAAGCGCTTAGTGAGCAATTGTAGTACTGAATGCACCCATTATCATAATCATGTATCTATATTAAGCGTCAGAGGAATGCCTTAATACTGAAATTTTACTCTTTTTTAGCATATTTACCTAGATTTGTTAATTTGTCCTGCCCCTTCTTAGTTCATAATATAATTGCTCATAATGTAGACTACAAAAGGAAAATAAATATAAATCAGAATTTTTGAAATGATAATTCTCGAAGAATTGTAACTATCTCTTGTACTACCTCTATATTTTGATAATATTTCATAAATATTTAAACAATAATAATAAGTGAATAAATATTTAAGTTTTTTTATTTTTTGTATTTCGAATCCATTAAATTCGGGGGATTTTAAAATCATAGTTCTGGAAATTTTGATTAACATCATCTTTTATTCAATTATATACTTATTCTGATATTTTGTTAAATTTTAACAATTACATTTTTGTTGGTAATTAAAAAAGATATAGTTTATCACGGTTAGTAAAAATTGGAGTGATTGTATATTGATAACTTCGTCGTTACTTATTTAATTACCTGCAATAAAAAGTAAATAAATTTTCAAAAATTGATATTGTCTGAAGAATATAATTAAAAAATACATAAATATGCTCTAAACAATACAATCCTAAGCTGCAATTTTATTTATCCTTTTTTTCTTCCTCAACAGACACCAACGAGGTATCATTAAAGACCCCTCGAATTTAAATTCATTGAAATTCGCGTATCTGTTAAAATTTAAGCGATTAAGGCCGAATTAATTGCACCAATGTTACTTTAATTTTAAGCAAGGCTTAAAACTCTCTTTGCAGATGTACATATGTTTAAAACTTAATAATACTCGATTTTTGTTTAAAATTGTGACTTTAATAATATCAGAGTTTGATTCAATAGAAATGATAACTGCAGAGGAAAAATGGTAATTTTTCGGTAATATATAACATATTATATCATTAAAAGTGCATATTTATTTATACATCTTTTATATAATAAAAAATCATGAATTCAATAACGTATCATCAAAATATTTATGTTAATAATCATAAATTTTTATTAATTCGATAAACGTCATCATTCTTCAATCTTTGGGCTGAACTTAATAGTCATAAAAATTTGCAAAAGGCCGAGAATCTTTAATAGTATCTCGTTGATAGAACAGGTAAAAAGTGAATTAAGTCTAAACGCAACACGTGTACTTTCAATATATAAAATTTCATGCAATTTTACATTTGTTCTTAGAAATCTTATGCATTTTTTACACAAATTAAATATTTCCCAATAACATATTATTTAAAGTTAGTATTAAAAATTTACATTTCATTTTGATTAAACCATCCCAGCAAACGAGAATGGATTAAAATGGATTGAAATTTTTTTCTATCCGAATGCGTATTTTATATATAAATAGCGAATACTTTTTTTGTGGATTTAATTGGATTCAATTAGATTCAATTGGATACAATTGGATTAAAAAATTGCATTTCCTATTCACAAAAGTTGAACAGTATTCACAATTGCACAGAAAGAAAGAGCTAATATTATTTTTAGATTGAAAGGCATAGAGATATGCTCTATGCAATTCCTATAAATGAATAAAAATGCATTCAGAATTCATTTTCAGAAAAAGCATTCATTTTAACATTCGTGAATCAATATTTCTGAAAATCTGAATCCATTTCAATCCATTCTTGTTTGCTGGGATAAATAAATTTCTTTTATTTCTTGCGGATTTCTTTGAAAGGCATAAATGATTTTACATATCTCACTAGAAAACATCTTTTCACATATGAAATATTTTATTATAAAAATTATATTATTGATACTGTACATGTATAGTAGTGTACTAACATCCTTATGAATAATTCAGAGAATCCTAAAATGATAGAATTACCGACTAAAGTTTTCTGAATTGGCTGTACAGATTAAAATCTTTTTTATGCGTATTTTAATTGTGTAAAAAGACTTTTAAAACAGTCAATTCGGAAAACTTTCTAATTTATAAAGTTGATACTTCCATCATTTTTAGAACCTCCTTAAATAAGAAATTAAACAAACTAAAAAAATGACACTATCTTCTCCAATATCTATTTACAAAGTATTAAACAAAAAAAATTATGATTAAAACATTAATAGCGTTCACATAAATAAATCTGCCAAATATTCCTCAAATTCTTTTTCTCTTGTCTTTTCTACGTCTTCAGCTGGTTTCTCTTTCCAGATATTTGATTCATTCGTATCAGTATTTTCATTGCTTTGTATCTCAGCTGAGGTGGACTCTGTTTCTGCTTTATTATCTGATTCTGGATTACTGGAAATAGTAGGTACATCATTGCTATTTTCGGAATTTGTGTCCAAACGCTTCAAAGATTTTCTCCTTTTCACCTCTCGCTTTTGTGATCGATAATTAAGTTTTACGGAACATTCTGGGCAAAGTCCTTCACATAAAAAAAAATATTTTGTATGAAACAATCTTATATGTATAGAAAACAACTATATTGGTTTTAACATACTTAATTTTACTAGCGCATTCTTCTTCTCGCCATGTTCTTCATAACCAAAATTAAGCTCCCAAGAACGCAAATCTTCCTTCTCTTTGCATGTTTTACTACCACACTCGAACTGTCCTTTGCCAACTATTACTTCTTTCTCGGTTCTCCATCTCAAAGCAATCTATGTATGTCATATAAATTAATAATATTAATTAACTTAATCAAAAAATAAATTTTTATAATGAATTTAAATATAGAGATATAAATAAAAACGTTTCATACCTTATTACATTTATAATATGTAAGATCACATATGCAATATTCCTTGAACAATTTGTCGTAATACTTCTTAGCTAATCTGCTACCCCATGTATCTGGGACATCCTTTTCTTGATCCCAGAGAAACTTGTGGTTCTCTCTGATGACATCGTAATCAGTTTTGTCTCGGGACCTCGAAACGTCAAGTGCTGCTTGTTACAAAGTTTATCAAATTATAACTTTCATGTGCTACTAATTAATAATAAATCCATTGCAAGGAAATGCTGTAAACTATACTATTCTTATATATATATATAAAACAGCTCTTTGTGTTCCATTTTCATGTCAAGAAAGCAAAATAAACATAATGAAAGTCCTTAGAATTTTCAATAAAATTGTATTTACTGGTCAGTATTGGCCAATATATTCTACTAATTACACTAATGAAAAAAAGTCATAATATGTGGTTTTAAACAATACCCAACATTTAATTAAACAAAAAAGTCTAAATAAAAATAATTTAATATATCAATTAAATAAAATAATACACACACACACACACACACATATATGTATATGTATACGTATATATATTACTATATAGAACATAAAAATTTGAAAGAGCTGATTCAGAATGGAAATATTTACAGACCTAATTATATTGTATTCATTTTACATTATTGGTATAATTACGTAAGACGATTAAATGTTGATCAAATAATTTCAGAAATACTTTTGATATATTGTATTGCTGGAGTAAAAAACAATTGCAACAAAAAAAAATTGCAAAGAATCACAGATGGACAGTGGAGAATAAAAACAAGGACTCCCAAGGTGCAAATAACGAAATGATGAAAAAAAAGCATGTCATTGCCTGACAATAACAAAACTTCTATCACACTCACAACTATAAAACAAAAAATTCAACATACGTGTCTCGCTTAAACGATGATACAGACTTTCCGTAAATTGTCAAGTAATCATTTATGAGTTTCTTGTGCCTGTCGTAAGCTGATAAGTGTGCATAAGCTGGAAACATCGTCAAATCTTTTCACCTTCCACACGACGTCACGCGATAAAATCACGTAAACCACTTTTCAGCTGACGCAATTGGACGCCATGACTAGACTGCGATCGATTTGAATGCTTTCAGCGCTTTCAGTACTTCTATTCTTATTTCACGTCTAATGAACGATAAAGACAGAATAATGATTTCAAGCGCTTAAAGAATGTCTAAATCGACCACAGCCTACGTTTAGGTTGGGTTCACACTTTAATGGAAAAGCGGAAAGCGGAAAAGCGGAAACCAATCGGAACTCGCAGTAGTAATAGGCGATACATTTCTGCTTCTGTCTTTCTGTGAGTTCTGTCAAGATGTGAACCCGGCCTTACACGATACTCTTAAATCGAGTTCAATAAAGATCATTCCACACAATTTGCATAGCCGCATAACGATATGCATAGAGAAAATTATCCAATCACATTTCTGTCATAAAGCAAACATAAAATACGATTGGATGATTTTCTTTATGCATACGTATTTATGCGACTATATAAGTTATGTGAGTATATCCTCACACTCGTAATTAAAAACTAACCAATCAAAGTTCATCATTCCATTCTTTAGAGAAATAGCTATGATTGATCAGTTTCATAACTATAGATGTTATTAAACTCGATTTAAGTGGATGCATTCAGTAACTATCGTTCACTGAGCGCTCAGTGAGCTCTTGCATCTTGATTGGCATATTCCGTTAGATCTAAAAATATAGACCAAACTTGGGATCTTTTTTATACTACCAAAAATTTGCCCAGGGTTGAGGGTCTTTAATAGTATCTCGTGCCTTCGAATATTCTTTTCCTACAGTCGAATGAGAGGAGAAATACTCAACCGTATTTCAAGTCAATTCTTACATATTACGGCATACAGTTATAGCCAACATAAACGCTCCTTTACTCATGTCCTCTCTCAGGTTTCTTTCTGCTAACACCAAAATGTCAAGAGTATAATAGTTTTTGAATTATAAAGGTCGCAACACAATCCTTTGCATAATACATAATGTATAGTGTATAAGCGAATCAACTAATCAAAATCTTTCTTTTCCTCTCATTCTATGAAAAAAAATTTCGATTGGTTGATTCCTCTATACACTATGCATTATGCCTGAGTCTGTAGCCATAAACATTAAAGGGTGCCTTCCAACAAGCAACTCAGTAAAACAGTGATCATCTCATTCTAGTTTAACATTGGCGAACAAAGATGTAATAATGCACCATGTCACACCGTGTCATGTGTCACCACTTGTTGGAAGGCATCCTTTAAAGTTAACGAAGTTACCGCCTAGTTCTCTTAAATGCGATTCTATTTTCCGTTGTATCATACCTGAACGCGCAAATTTTAGACTGTATGATTCGATAATTTTATTAAAACTTCAACATTTTGGTATTAGAATTTTCGTTTCAAAATTCGTTCAAAATGATCTCAAGAATCTACTCTTAAACGATGGTCTTTGTCGAACACTCTATATATATATATATTAATGTATAATAATATCCATGATTGTATATTTCAGCAATAATTATCCCATACGAATATTAGATATACAAATAATGTTTATCTCGAATCTTGTAAAAATAATAAAAATAATTGTGATATAAAGATTATAGTCTTTGATTAAACCGCAATGCGGTTTGAATTAAACAAATATATATGTACATCAAATATATCACATGTTTCGGATATTTCATTTCTCCTACATTCTCGATATAAATTACAACATGTTTAATTATGAAAGTATTATTATACTCGTGGTCTTTTCGTTTCTGTCAATGTAGAAATATCTACTTGGTCCACTCCCTCTTCTTGAGGTCCAGTACGTTTCCTCGCTTTCGGGGATGATTGTTTCAAACACTCCATATCGTTGAATACTACTTGTGCTCCGCCACCACTTGTTGGCAATATATCGCCCTGTTTAATAGAAAAAAGGAAGTAAAACTTGTATATTCATTAAGATAATATTTTCTATACATATAAAAAATATGTATATTTTTTTTACATATATACAAATTACAAAACCTTATATAATTTTGTTTCAAGTTCTCCATCCGTATCATGTTCTTGTGCGACAAGACAATATCTAGATGCGCCATCCATAATCTCTTTTGGTGAAGTAAGTTGCGTTACGCTTCGTCTTCTTTGCATCAATGGTTGCAATATAGTTCCAACTGGTACAAGAGGTTGAGGTCTATGATCGATCCATGTATCGGCACTTTGCGATCGTCTATATCTCGGGTTCGAAACGGGTATTCCGTCCTACATAAAAGAAAATTGTTTTTTTTTCTCCAACTTTTATACATAAAAATTTTCAAGTTAATAAAGACATTTAAGAGGAAAAAGTAATTGCACATAATAAGTAACCTTTCGTGATATTCTGGTATCTCTAACTGGACTGATTACTCTCGTTGTCGATTCTGGAGCTTGGTCTTTTGATGCTATTGCAGAATTAATATCATTGATGTCAACTACAATTTGATGTACTCGTCGTAACTGTTCATCTTTCTTCTTCACTTGATTCTAAAAATAATAAGAATATATTTAATTTTTAATATTAAAAAATGTCAAAGGTTGAAAATATTATATGTATATAAAATCAAAGCTCTTATTTTTATAAATATGTAACATCTGTTAAATTTAACCTGAAGATGTTCACGCTGTTGACGCAGTCTCATTTCGAATTCTCTGTTTAACTTATCCGTCTCGACTTGCATCTTTGTATTATATCTCTGCTTTACTTTTTGTTTATCTATCAAACGTTGATTTAACGCCAAGTCCCGATCTTTCAGCTATATGCATATACATACACACGCGCACATGAAAATATACATACATATATACACACATACAATTATATTATATATTATTTAAATTAATGTAGCATTCAAGCAAACACATGAATACGCGCGCGTACTAAGTATTGAGCCCACCTCTTGTTCTAAAATTTGAATCCTTTCATTAGCACTGTTTAATTTACGCAAAAGATCATCTATTTGCTTTTCTGATTTGCAAACATGTCCTTCGAATGCAGATATCTTTCTTTTTTGCTGTATATTTGCAGCTTTCAATGAAGCTGCTTCAATTTTTAAATTTACATTTTCTTGCTCTATACCCATTAATGTTCGCCTAAAATCGTCTTCTATAAATGAAATGCATGTCTTATTATTATTGTTGTAATCATTATTATCATTGTTGTGTCGTTATTATTATTACGTTATTATTATTACATTATTTGATCAATAGCAAAATAATTTTGTTAAAACTGAATATATCTCACGTTTCTTTTGTAAATCCGCGCGAAGTATATTGCGCTTGTTGATACGCTGTTCCAAGTATTGTATTAAAGATTGTATCATTTGATCATTGTCCGAAGTAATGGTTTCCAATTGAGGAAATGATCCTCCCAAACTAAAATAATATTTAAACATCAATTATATTATGCGACAATTTATAAAGAAAATAAGCGAAAAGAGAGGGGAAAAGAATTTGAATTATTCAGTCAACTGTTGCAATACCTGTATACTAGACCTAGATCAATGTTCAAATCAGCTGCTTCTGGTCGGCCTTCTTTCTCCAATTTGCTTCTTGCTTCCTTGAATATCTAAAGAGAATAATAAAATTTGTATTGACAGTGTAAGTGTGCATATTCTGAGATTAGAAAATATTATACAAGCTAAAATTGTTACCTTATTCGCTTGCCTTCTACCAGGAGTGAAACCGAGATCCAATTTTACAGTAGTAGGCCTTGTGATATGCACTTCTTGAGTCATTTCCGCGAATTTCATTACTTGCTACATATTAAACATTGAAAAAATTAATGTTTGTATTGCTTTCAGATATATATTTAATATATTTCACTATCAAACGTACAATAGTTTCGTCATAATCATCTGCTCTTGGATTTACACAGACTATCATTCTGACCTGTCCTTCTCCATCAAAATAGTTTTTAAATAAATGTGTAAGCTTAGAATCCCGATAAGGAACTATTTTATTTGTACCCTGATTTTGATTCTCTCTCAAAATTTCCAAACATGATCGCAGAGTCATTAAAGAGTTATTAATGTTTCCTATAAAATTGAATACTTGTTGTTCAAAAGCTTTCATAAATTTCATAAATGCAGCAAATGAAATGTCCTACCTGCTTCTCGTAAACGTTGACCGGTATTTTTAGTGCGATTTGTTCGCTCGCTACCCGCTAAATCTACTAAAGATAATTGACTAACGCACACAACTTGTTTAGCCTGCATTACCTGTTCGCCTTCACTATCCAAAGGTGCCTAAAATAAGCAGGAAAATAATTATATGCAGTTAAATAATAAGCAATTAAAATGCAAGTGATTATATTTTAAGATATTTCTAAAGTCTAAAGCTTCAGACACAATGTGAAAGAATAGCGATAGAAATATTACGATTTGAATATCAAAAATATATTTAGAAATGTGTATCTGATTGCTAATAGGAAATTGTGTTACTTCTATCATTATTATTAGGTCTAGGTTTTGAAAGTGGCGATTATAAAGAGTTGTGTGGCTGCTCTCTTAAAGATTCGGGTTTAAATTCATCCAGAACATACATATCAAATTTTGTCATTGCCTTTCGAAAGGTTTCGAAAGGCTTCCTTAAATATAAGGTCTATGAATATAAGTTTCTGACAAGATTGAGGAGAAAAAGGAGAGTTGTTCAAAAAGATATTGTACCTGTACGAGTCTGATAGTGAAAACGCTGTGTGATCTACTCGACTCTGCATTCAATGCTGTATACTCAACATGTCTTTTCCATTGTCCACGTTGAAATAGCTCAAAAGCTTCTTCTGCACTTTTTACTTCAATTTCCGTAACGGCATGTACATACATATTTTTATTGCCATCTTCCCTTACTATTTTACTCTGCAATGTCCTACATTAAATAATAAAATAAATACGTGATTTTCACATACTAAAACTGCAAACATTTCCTTTTATAATATATGTGAAAATATATAAATATATAATATATATACAAGGTTGGCCATATTCGACGGAAAGATGTTTTGTATATATATATACACACATACACTTACTTGGTTCTAGCATAATCTTCATCTAACAAGTCATATACACTGTTGTTGTATATTTCAACATATGTGACAAATACAGCATATGCATTATCTGCCTCAACTGATACACTTTGAGATTCATTACGTTTGTGAGTTACCACTGGTTTACTATCTCCATCACTATCTACCTTATGGCTATATTGAATATTATTTCACATGAGATAGCATTTAATATTACCTGCATATGTAATCTAACTACATGAATAAAGACTAGTCTATCTCTAAGAGTTCTATTAAATGGAGTAACTTACTGTTTGTCGAATCTTGCTCTTTGCAATAGACCTGCCTGAAACTGCCTTTCCAGCATAGCATCAGTCTGACTTTGTATATCAAAACCATTTAGTTTATCTGGTTTAAAGACAAACTTTTTTGTTTGATAATTGGCAATAGTATTAAAAATAACATCCAAACATCGAGGCATGATACCAGCATCTTGTGGTTCTCCAGTCATCGTATATGTTTTTCCACTACCTGTTACACCATATGTAAATAAGAGACCATTTCTTCCGTTAATTAGGTTTTCAACCAGAGGAAGGGCAACAGTTTCAAATATCTCTCTTTGTGTCACATCAGACTTAAATATATGACTAAATGTCGTTTTTATCTCCTTATTAGTACGAAAGTTGGCTGCTGATCCTGGAGGCATAATCACTACAGTCCTGTCAGATTCAACTGTCATACATGATACATCTGTTGAAGATTGCATTGGACGTAAACGACAATAAACCTGCACAGGATCTTTAGACATCATATTCGATCCCTTTGGCCGACTGATTGGCTTACGAGCTGGAGTTTTCGAACGTCTGAAATATTTGTGTGGATATGTTTACTTTTCATCACCTTGTGCCCAATTTCTTTATTTCTAGATAAATTGCGAATAACATTATTCAGGAAATATCTCCATTGTATTCTAAAAGATATCTCTTGGATAAAGTTATCTAGAAGTGAAGAAATTGGGCATTAGTCTCTTAAAATTCGCAAGCGTATATTTAAACATTTAAGGGTCAACATTTATTTTTATTGAGCTTGAACACAAAATTATATTAATTTTACAATACTTACGCGGGCTTCATTATATAAGTCAGTTTAATTTTTAATGTTTGTTAAGAAAATCGTAATTTTAACGATTTTTCACTCTTTAATAAATCGTGCCAAATTATGACACCTATGTAAAAGTTCGTTACGATCTTTCGAGCATTTTCGAATTGAATAGACGCTATCACTATGAAGAGTTGCCAAGTTAGGGGATTTTCCCCTAATTTGGGGAATTTCGTCAATATTGAAACAGTTGCAAATCACTCACCAAGTGATTGGTTCTTATTTATAAATCTATGAGAATCTTGCCTATTGGCTGCGATGCTGGCACTGGCCTAGTTTCCACCGAGGGTTTAATCCGGATCAGAATTAACCAACTACAGTCGAGCATTTCCCTGTCGTTCGACTGTAATAGGAGAATTCTCGACTGTAATTGGTTCTTACATTCTAATTCGGTTTAAACCGAATTCCTTGGTGGAAACTAGGTGGAAACAATTCAATATATGAATTTACGTCTTCCTGTTAAGCGGAGAGCACAGATTCTTGCATAACGCATAAAACATGAGGCATAAAAAATCAACTAATCAGAATCCTTTATTTCATGGAAAGGAAGAAAATAAAGGACTTTGATTGGTTCAGAAAGCCTTAAATAAGTCCTGACTATAAATATAGGCAATAATCAGGTCTTATATTTAAGGCTTCTTTAAATTTATCTTTTAGATACTCTACGAATTATTTCATTGGCTACTGAGCATCTAAAGATAAATTTAAGAAAGCTTAAGTACAAGGTCTGACTATGAATACGGGCATTAATGGCTGCGTTTAGCAGAACGTTTATTTTGCAACTGTTGGAAGTTTTCTTCACGCTGATTGGGTTATGCTTTTAGATCAAGAGGAATAGTCCTATCTCAGCAGAGAATCATAAGGGGCTCTGCACAATAAAAGGAACAGGGAACAGAGAACAGAGAATAAGAATTTCAATCTATCAGAAACTGTGTATTCCACAATACATGATTTCTAGTTGTGATCAAAGTCTCGCTACAAGTTCTTTGAAGCGTTTGATGGAAGAAAGAATTTTACAAATTGATCAAAAAACGCTTCAAAGCGTTTGCAATATCGCGTACCTTCTGATAAGTTCAAATTCTTATCCTCTGTTGTCTGTTTCCTTTTATTGTGCGCAGCCCTTAAAACTGTTGCAAAACTGTTGTGTTTTGCTGAACGCAGCCAATGTCTTCTTTAACCATGATCGGGTTTCGGGCCATCGAGGCCATTCTCTTACAAAGATCTCATTTGAATTGATGATAATTGCCAAATTTCAAAATTGATTCCATGAATTCCATTTCTGCCGGTTCCGACCTGTGTAGAGAGTTAACTTGTGCGATTTAACGTTTTGTCGAGAAAAATTTTTCTCGAGATTAACATTTGCATCGCGATAATTTTGAAGTGACATGTCGAAACCAAAATGAGTACTTGTCAAATAGTATCATGTAGAAATAATTATCGAACAAAAGAATCCAGAACTATACATTTTCATCGCTTCCCAAGAAGAAATGCATTATTATTACAATGGGAGAAAGCTTGTGGGAGAAAAAATATCAATATTAAAAATGGTATATATGAAATTAATATATTTTTGTTTATATCATAGATTACATTCAACAGAAAAAGCAACTTTGCAATTATTATATTCTTTAATATGATTCGTCTTGCTCTTAAGTTCCTCACTGGATTTAAATAAATCAGTTATATTCAAGAATTTTATAACAGCTCCAAAGTTGCTTTTTCTACTGAATGCAGCCATAGATTTATACAATAAAAATAACACATTCTATACATGTAGGCCGCGTCTGTTCCATCCATTTTGATTCAGCAGCATACAAAGTATATGATTTACATAATCAACCAAAAAAAAGAAGATTAAGATCTGATGCAGTACCCACGCTGAATTTAGGATCATCAAATGGCAAAGGTATGCAAAGTATAAGCTTCTTTGGTAATTAAGATAGTGTATTATATTATTATATTATATTTTTTATTGGCTACTCCGTTGCATTATACAATATATTAATAATTTGTTTATTATCTTGATGAATCTGTAATAGTACCAGATACTGCAATGAATACAATACTGCCTAAAGAGGAGTTTGAAGTAATGAATACAACACTATTTGAAGAACAGATGGAAGCTTCAACTTCAAGAGACTTATTAAATTTGAGTAAGCAAATTATGGCACATGGTAATCTTACTAATTCTTGTAAAAGTAGTTATGTTCAGCAGAGAAAACTGATCAGTGAGCGCTCAATGATTCTTTAATATGATTGATTTTTTGTCTTTAGTTCTTCATTGGTTCTTTTTTTAAGAGTGATATTCATAATTTGTTCTTATTTTTGTATTATTTTAAATAATGTCTTAGGATTTCTTTTATCAACTCTGATTAACACTAATTGACAGTTAACTCAGTCATCACGATTGCTAGTTTGAGAACTGAATAGTTTGTCTCAAAAGAGGAAGAAAGAGAAAACATTCTGATACAATAAACTTCTGTGACATTTCTGTAAGTTGATCATCAATTAATTTAACCAGAAGTTGGTGAAAGAGCCTTTAAGATGCTAATGCAGCTCTCTGATTGGCTTATAACATCTTAAAACTGTACTTAAGATAATCGACTATGAATACTGGCATAAAGGTGTAGGAGCCAATTGTATTGAAGATACAATGCGCTTTTCACTGAAATCGAAACACTAGCATAATATAAGCAAGAATAGTAGGTTCACTCAGTCAAAACTGATACTAAGACCTGTTACACACAGGATATGTTAACGCGTTACGCGCGGTAAGAAACGATATGATAGCTAATTAGAGTCTGACCTGGAAAAGTCTAATTGGTATCTTTAAGGATGAACAGTCAAACTTTGCTTATTCGCCTTTGTCTAACTCGTGTAATAGCATGGAAGAGAATCAAAATTATGGATATTATCTTATGAAGTTTGAGCCTAGATTTTCGATACTAACAATGAATATCGGAATGCAGTGAGTCTGGTAGGATCTGATATAAGTGAAAAATGATATTACCAATCATTTTAATTGTACTGAGGATAAAATATGATATCCGGATAGCATGCATGTTCTAAATAGAACGTCTCTTAAAAATATCTTACAGACTTTTTACAATAAGCTATTATCTAAATTTAGTTTTGAGTCATAAGAAATTGATCAATAACCCGTACACATCATAATAGTAATACCGTAAGTTAGCCAATCAGAGCTGAAAGTTTTTGAAAATTCTTGATTATGACGCACTCATTGGAGTGAGTAGAAACTATAATAGTATATTGGAACATGTTGGAGCATACAATGCGAACAAATCTTATGAGTTGTTCCATTTGTTCATAACACTCAAACGCTCATGAACATTATTTCATCTCTATTATTTATCAAATGTTAAGGATGGAATGTACGCAAGCAAGTTATGCGTCTCATTGTCACCATATTACATTGTCCTATTTAAAAAAACCGATAGAAAACGATAATAAACAATACAATCTGTTAAAAATCTTATCATTTCCTATTGTAATCCATTGTTTCACTTTTTATATTCTGAAAGAAATGTTATCGTTTCCTATCATTCTGATGAACGATTCAATCCTTGGAATTCGGTAGAAATTTTGTAATAACTTATTATTCTTTGACGTTTTAGAATGATCGTGAATTATCGTTATGGAATTTTTTGTGAAAATTTTATCGTAATCAATTCAGCTAAAGGAATGTGGAAGTTTGTTATCGTACAAGTTTAAAAAAATCTATAATTCATCATGAAAATCCATAATCATGCATCAACGGTAGATGATTCAAAATATCTTATCGTAAAATTATAACAAATTTTCGTAATCATTAATAAAGTCGCAACGACAAAAGTAAAGACTTCCCATCATATTATTACGGTTGAAAATTTATTGTTATTTATCGTACATGAAAAAAAAACGATAAAGAATTAATTGTAGAATTATATATAATATTCTTTTATTCATTTACAATTCATAATTATGATTAAAAACGATTAACCATTTGCTATCGTTTTCGATCGATATTTTAAGAAATAATTAAGCAAATATGTCTCCATATGTTAATAGTGTTATTAGAGATTACGTTAATTTTATTCGTCATATCGAATTTTTTATAAGTTTACACTATTAATTCATAGACACACCAGAATCTTCTATGTCTGGAGAATTACCGGAAAACTTCTTGGACAAATCCAACAATCCGCCGGTGGAAATTGGCAAAAAAGGATTCGACGAATTTGGATTACAGAACAATATTTTAAAGAAGCAGCATGTTAACGATAACAACAGAAAGGAATATGAAATCAGAGAAAGTGAGATGGAAAGGGAACGACAAAACGAAGAAGAGAAAGACAAAACTAGCGAGTACCATTTTTATGAGGAGGATCAGGATACAGACAGCGAGAGTGAACAAAAAATGAATACTAAAGACAGGTTCAAACTTGGGTTCAAGCAGGGAAAGAAAATTCATGAATGCAATCAGTGCGGTCGTACATTTCTACTGCATCAAATGTTAATGTTGCACATTCAGCATTTCCATCGCAATCGCCGATATGAGTACGATGACTGCAAGAAACGCTTTTTCAGCAAATCAAATTTGCTGAAACATAAAACCATACATGTAGATAAGATGCCATTCTCGTGCTCAGTATGCCAGATTAAGTTCAGGCTGATGGAACAGCTGCAGTATCACAAGAAAATACACATGAACAAGATGCAATATGCCTGTCAGCATTGCAGTCGCAGATTTGTCACTGTTGAAGAATGTAAGAAACACGACGATTTGGAGCATAAGAAAGTAAAGCCGTTTCAATGCGACATCTGTGGTAATTGCTTTGTAGCCAAACAGGGCTTGCAACGGCACATAGCACAGAAACATGAAGAACTGTTCACGTGCAACTATTGTACAGAGGTCTTCCACACAAAGACATTGCTAAACCACCATTTGCTTACTCACATTGATGATCGACCACATACGTGTAAAATTTGCCTGAAGAGGTTTCTCCGATTACATCATTTAACCGAACATATAAAAGTTAATCATAGTGAATTGAAGAAGACAGAGGACTACAGTGATGCTCAATCTGAAATCCAACAATTAACTGTCTGCAGCCCTCCAGCTTATAGCCCAAAATATAAAATTATATTTTCTATTTCGTATAAAATACCAATATAATAAGGAAATTTAAGGAAGTTTTCTAGTGTGAATATTCATTTTTAAAAGTAATTTTTAGGAATTACATTTAAAAAATAGTATAAGGAATTGCATTTATAAAAATAGTAAACTTACGAAGCTAAAATTTTATTTATATTTATAAATTTTTTATTTATATTTATTTATATTTAAAGTAACACCTTAAATTTTTACAAAGCTTTTTATTGTAAATTGTATAAGATATATATAGACGTACAGATCATGTGTCACAAAAAAATCGTTCCCATCAGGCCGACGGCGATCGGGAAGATTCCGTTTGCCTATAAAGCTACAAATCGATTATTTTATAGTTTTGTAGGAGCGAGCCTTGTAAAAAGAATCCTCTCGCGATGATCACGATGGGAATGATTTTTCGCGACATGACTTCTGTATGCATCTATCTATATCTTATTTAAAATAAAATAAAATAAAAAACTTTGTAATTTAAGATATTACTTCAAGTATGAATAATATGAATATAAAATATTGGCTTTGTAAATTTTATTCATTTTTATAATTGAAAGTTTTATAATTTCTTAATTTGATTCCCAAAAATTATCTTTGAAAGTGGATATTCACACTAAACTCCTTTAAGAGGATGCTGGATCGACGCTGGTCGAAGCTTGATTGAGGTTGGTAGTATAGACTTTTAAATTCCAAATTTGATAATAGTAACATCTTTTATTCATTTCTTATATTTATTATATATCGTTGTGTTTCATTCAAACGTATTCATCTATCTTTATCTGTTTTGTCTCTTGGGAATTGCTCAGGGTCATTCCAAATGACCCAGCATACTTGAAATGTAGGATTCACGCTATGTACGACATCATACGACGTTCGATATTTATTGTAACAACGAATGTCAGATATCGTATGACGGATGTCGTCGAATAATTACATTATTCTTTCGAGAAGTTTGTTCAGTTTGAAGTGGTGGAATGAGTAATTAAGAGTGAAATTCTTTAAGTTTTATGTAGAAATAACAGTTAGAATATGTATAACGATATCTATAAAAAAATCGTATTTATTCATAAATTATTATATACTAGGAACTATTTCCTTTATTGTAATTTATCAATGTTTTTTCTAAATAATTAGCATATTCTATTTGATTTGTAGAAATGCCCACGTGTTGTGTTCAAAACTGTAAGTCTTACATTAGTCATACATTGAGGCGATCTTAAATATTATTTCATACTCCATTATTTTATTCATTTACGAGCTTTTGTATTTTTTCAAATTTTAATCTTGTTTTTACAATTGTTACGTATTTTTACTAACACTGCATTTGAATTTAGCACTAAATTTTGGACAAATTTTTGATTGGTTGTTTGGTACTTTTCTGCCATTATGTCAATGAAATACCTTATATTTATATATCATGAATTCGACACACCGAGAATATGCATTTCCTATAGCAAAAATGAGAGACTAGCAGTCCATATGTTTATAGTCAAAGTGTTCATACTATATGTAATACTCTTCTTGCTAACGCAACCTCTTTTTTGGAGTGAGGAGTGTGCGAAGATAGAGACTATCGGATCACTTCCACAGTGTACTTCGAATGTACGCATGCGCTGGCATAAGTAACAAAGCATTTTTGTTTCTTTTTTTAAATACTTTTATATAAACAACAATGTTGGACATGCGTATAATTATATACTCAATATGCACTACGCAATACATGCGAACGCGGATCAGTACAGATGTACGTGATTAAATTGATTAGAAACACGCGTTTGCGTACTGAAGCGGGCATCTAAGTGAGAGGTAAATATCTGCACCGTGGTGTTTCCGCCAGCTCTTAATTCGCGTTAGCAATATAGTATTATAATATTACATATAAATATACATACTACTGCTAGTACAATTATTGCTTTATTTATCATTCCAAGGCTGTGTTTCAAATTTACTGCCAGCACTAAAAATGCTACAGTTTACGTGCACTATAGATTTTCAGTACTGACAGTCAATTTTGGCACACATCCTGAGTCTTCGCTCGGATACACGTCATTTGCAGATATAAATCCATCTTTTGAAGCTTTCAACTTCAGTTTCACATACTCAATATTGTTTGTGTACGTAATACGCTTGCTGCACTGTCGTTTGGTCCATATGAGCTATAGAACTTTTATATTAAGGAAATATCTATGTCAGGTGACAATTCTACGAGTTGAACAAAAATGTAAGTTTTAACTTTTTTTTTCGATTCTAATATAAAGTCTATTGCAGCACCACTAAATTTTGTATCTACTTTAATCCTGTAAAGCTGGTTCTACATTAGTTGCAAACTGATCGCAAATTTGTTGCGATAGCCAATATGAAGTGTTGATTTCAAAATACAAACTTCAGATTGGCTGTTGCAAACTTGCGATCGGCTTGCAACTAATGTAGAACCGGTTTAAAAGGATTTGTGATTCCGTTCAGTAAATTCGGAGATTTATATTAATCTGCAAAGTCCCGACAATTTGGCCACTCCAGCATCCCCTTGACAGTTTTATTTAAGATACATTTTTTAAAATCTTAAATCAAGAAATTGTATTGTAAAAACGTATGTATGTATGTGTGTGCACTTTATATTTTATAAATAAATGATGTTAAAAATATTCGATTTTAGGTCTCCTATGGAACCTTAGTTAATTACAAAAAGATGTTTGAAACCAATATAAAATAATAAAAATAGTTTCATATTTTAGAAATACGGGAAAAGTAGATTTTTTTTTATGTTATATGTGTTTCCCTTTGTAAGTTGAATTTTAGTATACAATGTTAGAACTTGAATTGGATATATTGCGAAGTTACTTTGCCAATCACGGGCCTCTCGGTTTGAGATTCGAGATGGTCTCTGTTACAACCTCTGCATTATCCACCATACTCTTGTGAATTAGCCTGGATTCTCATACAGACAACAGCGCTTTGATACAAAACACTAATTGGTAAAAAATCGATTGTGAGTAAAATTTACCTCCATCACTCGTTTTTTACCAATTAGCGTTCGATATCAAAACACTGTTGCTCATATGAGGATCCGAGCATATTTTTCCATTTTCTGTATGTTATAACATTAGCGCATTACAACATTATATATTTACAAAATAAAGAAATATTAGTAATACTCACCACGTTTCAGGTAAAAATATAAATTTTTATCAATATAAATAACTCTGACCTAGAGTCCTATATTTATAAGAAAAGCGCGACCGGGCGACTTATGTTAGTATCGCAAAAATACTAAAAATAATGAAGTGGGAGAAAACTACAGGTAAGTATATATGCATGTAGGAACATGAATTCCTACTGCATTATTTTTCTTTAAATTGTATTAATATTACAGAAAATCTTTCATGGTCTTTAATTCTCCGAGATTAGTACAACTTATAACTTTTTCGGCCAATAGGAGAGAGCACGAAGGATCATTTCCTGCACGAGGATTGCATTAGAACTGAACTGAATTAAACTAGTGCAATCCTCATGTAGGAACGAAAACAAACCTCAAGATTCCATTTTCCGAAATTCCGACTGTCATGGGACAGCACCTTGTAGGTGCCTTTTCATATTAACACTTGACGCTCATTTTTGGTGTCAAAATAAGTCACGTGATAGAAATTGACGAATATTAAGTGTCAATTTTGATCATGTGATCTATTTTAACGCTAAAAATGAGCGTTGAGCATCAGCATGAAAAGGCATCTTAAAGGCAAATTCGATTGGAAGAACAGTGCGCACTGGTATATATTAAAGTCGTTGTACACTGATTTAATTTGAATATAAAAATGAAATATAAATATTTCAAATTATGAAATACATATTTTATCTAATAGTATAATAAAATATTGAGTATTTCACGATTTAGTCGATTTCTATGTTTATTTATAAACACAGAATCTTTACATTATTTTGTATACGACGGCTTTAATCTGCACCGCGATGTGCACTGAATGCGTCCAATCGAATTCGCTATAACTTTGACGTTTGCGTAATCACATTTGACAATCTTTTCCTCATTTTTTCTGTTCACATGACAGATGTCAAAATAACCAGAGATTTATGAGTTTATCAGGTTTATCTTGAATAGTAGGTTTATCTCTTAAATGAGATGGGATAGTCGGATTCTATGGAAACGCGCGATGTGTTAAGTGTTTCTAAACAATCGGCAAGATAACAAGTAACATTCTTATCGCGTACTAATTAAAAATATCGTTTCCGAGTGCAGAGATCAATTTTTAAAGGACAAGATTAAAGAATATTTAATACTATTTTTCTGATTATACAATGTATATATGTGATTTTGTTAAAAATATGATTTTAATATTCACGAGTTGTCAGATAATCGTAAGATATGAATGAAGATAGCAAATATTATAGCTACAAAAGCACTTTGCAAAAATGTCAGCTTTGGAATCATTCATGTAGATGTAAATGATTGTTACGTTAACATTTGCCAATATTGATTATTGAATATGACGTGGTAAGTTTAATTCTCAAAATGTGTTAAATATTATTTATAATACTTTCTAATTTTTTGAATTGAATTAAAATATCGAATTTACATAAAATATCTGTATTGTATATATGAACAGGAATCCTTTAAAGAAGAACTACTTGACCCAGAGACCGACTTCTGCGCCGCCACTTTTGTCTTATGCAGAAGATAAAGAATTGGACGTTGTTGTTCAAAAGCTCATCTAGTACGTACATTTGATAGAAATTATTATATGTCTATAATAATCATATTTGTGCAGTGCAAGTTTTCTTTTGTTATAATTTATAAATATACATAGCATATTTTTATTAAGTGCTGAACTAGATTTTGCATTTGTCGTTTACTTAAAAAAAGTATTTAAAAAGGTATTACAATATATCTATTCTCTTTTTAAGTGTGGAAAGCGCAATAAGAAAATTGACCAAGGAAATGAAGAAATATATAGGAGCTCTTACAAATCTAGACAGGGCTGATCAACGATTAAGTACAAATCTGATCAATTGTGGACTGGCACAAAATAACGATGAATGTAGGAGAATAGTAGAAGAATATTATTCTGTCGCTACTCAAGTAAGTTAATGCTTTGTAGATGTAATATTAATGTTCTTCTTCAAGATATTGAACGTATTCAGTAGAATGTCTATTTTGTAATGGTTAGAAGTTTTCTTCTAATAGGATTATTCCTATACAGTGTTTACTGCCTGAAATTTTCAGGGGATTTTTATCCTTAAAAATCAGGGATTTTCATCGAATTTTATCAAGCATAGGAAAATTTTGATACTTTAAATTGTACTTTTAAATTTTAATTCTATCTTTTTCTGAAAATATTATTTCTTTAATTATTTTTTTCTTAATATTGCAAATTTTGATAATCAGTTAGTAATGAGAATAGTTTACACATACATGTATTCACACATTTCTTATGTATTTCGCAAGTTTTTATTTAAAAAATTAGAGTAACAGTGTAAAACACTATACTTAGTATAAAAATATTTTATACTATTTGACACTATTATAGTGAACCTTCCTCATGTTATCCTATAAGTTTCGTGGCTTCAATTTGAGAAAATAATCTGGTGGAATCTCTCTTATAATAATCTTTAATATATAATTCGAATTATTTACAGTCTAAGTATTTCAAAGCATTAAAAACTTCTAATCTTACTTGGAAAAATCTATGAATTTTTGAGGAATTCTTTACGAGATTTCAGTAAATGTTCTGCTTTAGATAAAGTTAAATCAACGCGAAGAAAACTTTCGAGTTGCAAAAAATAAATATTCTACTGAAGGCATAATATTAATAACTCACGCTACATTTCATTATTAGGTAGGAAAGAACGTTCAAGAAGTCAGCAGCTTATGCCATAAAACATTTATAGAACCCTTAAAAAAGTTCAGGAATGAATTTATTACCATCGCTGCGGCAATAGCAAAGCGAGAGGATCTAGTAACCACGTGGAAATATGTGTACAATCGTGTAAAAAAATTACAAGAGAAGAAAGACAAAACTGCGAATCACATCGCGAAGCTTGAAAGAGAACGACGAGCAGAGGAGACGGCCGCCAAAGAATTGAAGACTATACACGCTCAATTACTCACGGAATTACCAACGTTTCTTGGTAAAAGATTGGAGTACATCAATCCGAGTATTCACGCTGTGATTATGATACAATTAAATTATTACGGACATGCGACGCAGTTATATACGCAATTGATGCCTATTAAGTATTCTTCTGAATTCACATCAAGCACAATAGTACCTGAGGAGGAACATCAGCGAGTTATAAATACTGAATTAAATAGATTGCGAGCGCTAACTATAGTAAAGGATCACTGAACAAGTACAATACATTCCTCTAAAAATTTCTGAAGCAATGTGTAATATATATATATATATATATTTTTTATACAATTATTTTTAAATAAAAATGTATATTCGTTTTTAGCACGGCATAATCAAGCGAACAAATAAAAATGTTTATTTTTATGGATTAAATAGCCAAGTAAATATACTAAATATATTTATTGCTTGGCAGTATATACATCGTGAGATCTTTTGCGAAAATGCGCTTTAAGATGGGATCATTCCTTGTTTTCTTTTTATTTCTGCACCCATTCGCCGATTATGATTGCCATGTGTAGCCTTGTATACATTTTTTCTCCTGTTGACCGATCCATTTTTGTCTTGCTTATCACCTTTGGATTTACCTTAAAGAAAAAAATCGTAATCTATTTGGGATATTTCTCAATAGTACGCTATTGGATCACCAAATAACAATTTAGTAAGCAAATCAAACCAGAAAAAAATGAAATGTGAATATTTGCTAAGAATCTAATTAAGTATAATAATTACTATATATTATAAAATTAATTATTGTATAATTATATTTCAGAAATGCTATTCCGAAATGTAATAAATCAATATTTCATTGAACATATGTACATATAAATGATATATTTCTATAAGTTAAAACAATAATTTTGTATATTTGCCAAATGAAAATAAAATGGTTCATTTTATATTTGTCATTATGTGTTTTTTAATAACTTAATGAGACTACAAGATTTTAAAAAAATTTATTTACCGTTTACATTGTATGCATTCTTACCTTCTCTTGATTGTTTTCGCTGTTCGGCTTTAGCACGTAATTCCGCTGGATCTTGTACAAAATGATTACTATTTTGTACAGGTTTCTCGTCTTCTATCTCTGTATCATCCTCAGAGCTAGCATTATTTTTATCGAATGTCTGAAATACCTATATAAAACAAATGTAGAAAAAATCCAATTCACGCACCATTACATACATTATAAAGATAAAGAACAATTGAACTAACTCTTGGAGTAGTAAAAGACCTTGCATCTATTTCTGCAGAATCATCCTGTGCACTACTACGAATATCATGACTGTCATACGTGTCATCATATTCATCATCGTATTCATCGGTAACAATGCTGTATTTTTCATAGATATTCCTCACTTCCCTAATTGCAGATTTGTCGTTCAGCATTTCATTTGCGTTTCTATACTTATCTTTCCTAGGAAAAAGATGTATTTAATTTTAACAAAATCAATGTCAATGTGTGCAAATCACTATAATAACTTACTTTTTCCTTACGCCTAACACATCTGTAAATTTCTCTGTCGTGACTTCAAATTTATCGTTGTAGGAAACATTCAACTCTTGAAAATCGTTGACCAGATTTGCAGTAGCCAGATCCATAGCAATCGATGTTTCCTAAAAACATACAGATTAATTCTTACTATTTTAACTTACCATAGCAAAGAGATTATTTTATTACTTACCATTGGATCAGGTGGTATATATGGTATTGTCCTATCTAATTCTTTCAAATTATGTGGTAACTTGTCCTCCAGAACTGCATTTACCACAGATTCAATATTATACTTATAATTCTCTAAACATAGCTGAAAGTTTTAGATTGCACAAATTTATAAAAACGCTACTCAATATTTTCTATTAGAATTTAGTACTAATAATCGATGAGTTACTTCTCATCCATTATTTCTAATTACAAATTAATTAAATAAACTAAATATATAACAAGTCTTACCTGTATAAAACCTTCACCACAATCGCACAAAATTTCTTTTACTTCCGAAATAAGAGACATTAAGTTGTCGGGATATTTTGAACCAGAATCTATCTTATTGTTCATGCAATTTACATCATTGGAATGTTCTTTTTGTTGATTGTTTTGAATACCGCTAGATCCAGCAACAGCTATCTATAATGTAATAGATAATATACATTTTTTAAATAAATCTACATATATATACATATATATACATATATATATTTGCAAGATTATTACTTACATTTGTATTATTGAGTGATGCATTAGCTAACATCTTGGTATCTCCAATCGATGCATGCAATGACTTTAATATATATTTGCTTTTTATTGTATCACTGATTATTAAATATGTAAAGAAAACTAAGATTTAAAACTGTTGTGTTTATGTATAATAATATAATATTGTAATCTCTTTAAAAAAGGATACATTTCAGGATAAAGTTTAGCCATAATTTGAAGATCGGTATCAACTGGGTAAAACTGATGATAATCTATAATGAACTCTTTTTCAGAGATAGCATTCATTAGTGAATCCAAATATTTATCTACGCAATTTCTTATCTCATTTTCAGTTATTGTATTTCTGTAGATGTAACATTCAAAGTAAATGAAATATTTTAATTAGGATATCCATATAATTGTTTTTATCATAAAATGATTTTTTCATATACTTACATTTTTTCTTGAATTTGTAATATGGATTCATAAATAATAATTCGATAAAGATTTAACATTTCAACTCTAGTTACATCGAGACGATGCTTCAATTCAATGTATTTTGGCATATTTTCCTCGCTATATGCTAATTTGTCTAACTTTTTATACATCTCAGGTATAGTACTCCCATATATTGAAACTATCCTAGCAAACAGAAACAATATAGTGGCACCAAAATAAAAATATATTGTACATTTGAATAAAATGTATGTTCACAAATAAGAGAATTTCAATTTAATAAAAAAATCGTCGAATATTAAAAAAACTGGTTTAATAAAAACGTGAATATATTGCTAAAAATAATGTATTAATTAGATATTAGTAATAAAATGAAGTCTTTTATTCACTTGTTTATGAAGTCATCTTTATGAAATGTGGCAGTTACTGGAGGATAGACTCTTAACAATATAGTAAGAGTTGATGATATATCTAGAACATAGAGTATTAAATCCTCTAAATTATACAATGTCATTTCAATAGAGTCTCCTCTTTCTGAAAGCGCCACTGCTTCAGTAGCATTACTTGGACAATTTTCAAATCTTCGTTCAACATTTTCGAGAGCCTATGATAGTAAAGATAATTGACTGATTAATTCAATTGAAACAAAAATTAAATTCATAATTTTTTAAATAAGTTTCTACTTTTGATCAACAATAATTGTTGATTATATTTTTAAGAAAATTTAGAGAAGAATTAATTAGATCAATTCATATTTGTGACTGACATAAGTAGAACCATTGAAATGTAAGATATAAAAAAATTAATATTTTTCTTTTATCAAGATTAAACAGTATACATCACCTTTATAAGGCATGGTATAGATTTCTGAAGGTCATCATTGTACATCGGTTGTAGACTAAATACGCTATCTACAATTTTCTCTACTACTTTGGTACTTTCTCTACCATATAGTTGACATAGATCAAATATAATTGGTATCGTGAATATGTAATAGTTATACAATAGTTTTCCAAGAAATGGACGGTTCATATATTCTGCTGAACTCTGTTTATTCGTGCAAAGACGCGCGAAGACGATAAGTACGTTAGCAGGAAAACTTTCTAAGGTATAGAAAGGTGGTGCTTCTTGTAAAAAAGAAACTAATGTATCCATAATCGATGTATTGTATATAATATTGGACCAGAATCTAAATAAAGAAAACTACTTGTAGTAATTGGACATGTTAATTGTAGATTTATTCTTTTCAGTTGAATTTTTTATATCATTCATCTTTCCTGTTTTTCTCTCTACTAATGTGAAAAGAGAAAGAGAAATGATGAACGTGTGAAAATGATGCAAAAAATTCAATTAAAAAGAACAGAATCAAGTACTGAAATTACTAAGAACATTATTATACCGATAAAATGGAAGAGCCAGTAGCCAGTTTAGATCTTCGATTATGTAACTCACAATTTCCATCCAACGATCCTTAGCACCCATAATTTCTGACCCATCTTCATTGTATATCTCTGGTGCTATGTAACTTAGAAAGCAACGCTTATCTGCCCACTTCATATTCTAAAAATTCGATATTAAACAATATACAGGAATTTAAAAGTTGAATAAATATATTATTAGAGTATTATTAGCTTATATATTATTAGATGTCCAATAAAAACGGAACACGAATTTTGAGATTTCAGATTTGTTTTTTATCGTTGAATTGCAATAGAGCTCTCCTTTTTGCTTTTACCAAATTTTAAGCATACAATTCCATATATTTTATTTTCTTTTAATATAAAAAAAAGAAAAAAATTGAACCATACAAGTTTAGTTAAAAAAAAAACAGGCCTATAGCTATTTCACGTTAAGTCTTATGCTGTATATTTTTAAATTACTTTGCTTGAAATTTTTGTATATTGTTACATTATTTTATACAAATCTTTTTCATATAGACAATACAAGCAATGTAAAAAATGTAAATTATTCTAAATTGAACATAATAGAAAGAACATATAGAAAGAAATAATCAAATTTTATGATTGTTAAAATATGATACTTTATAGTATTTAAATAAAAATATATATATAAAATAGAAATTTTAGCACAGTTCAATACAATGATATAAAACATAGATTCTAATCACGATTATCAGATTTCCAGATTTTGACTGAAGACTCGTTTTAGAGACCAATCTCCAGTTTTCCAGCAGACAGGAAAAATCAACAGTTGAAGTAAAACAAATATGATGCAATAAGTTGGAGTTTTTTACATCAGTTATATATATATATATATAGATTATATTTTACATGTAAACACACAACCTTGCTTCAAGTATAAAAAGTTAAAAAAACATCAATCTACGAATTTCCTAAGATTAAAAAATTAACATACCAGCGCATCTATTATAACAATCACCCCGTCATTCTTAATATTCAACTGTAGTTCCTCCAAAGGCACGCAATCTGGATTCTATTTAACAACAAAAAATCATTTTATAAATTAAATATTTCCTGTCGTGGCACAAATTGCGCTACAAATCCTAAAAATGATAAGTTACATCAAAGTTAATTACCTCGTAGAAACTCATGATTTTGCATTGTTTGTTGTAAAAAACAATTTGCTGCCTATTTGCAGTTTGACAAAAGACAATAGAAAAAGAAATCAATGTGATAGAAGTCTTGATAATAAAACAAGGTAGTCACAAAACCAGACGAAACAAATTTAGAGTGAAGTGTTTAGTAAATCCTCGAGTAGCGTGTCCTCGACAAATTCAGAAAACCGGGTAATCCCTAATAATTTCGGCCTGTGTAAGTGTCTACGAATAGTCAGAATACATGAAACAACTGAAAGCAACAAACGTGATACTTCATGGCACTTTCTGAAAGCAGAAAGGAGCCCGAGATGGCGTGAGAGAAGACCGATCACTAAAGTTACTAGATTTCTAAAATATCGCAATTGATTTCAGAAATATCGCCTCAAAATGACCGAAGTTCTCATAGTACACGATTTCAAGCATAATGGTTGGTAGTTCATCCTTTAAACTGTACTTACTTGTCTCTTAATGCACTTTCACATGCACTAAACTTCTACAACAATTAAATCTATATTAAATTAAATAATACATAAATTAAGCATTTGTACATATTTTTTGATTATAAATAAATTAATTACAATTAAAAAACGTTTATTTTACATACTTGACAGCTCTATTTTTCAAAATAAAGTACGTGTATACAAAAGCATAAATTTGAAATGGCCGCGTTTCACATAAAAAATGGATGCGAGTGTGGTATTTTAGAAATCTAGTGACTTTAGCGCAGGCCTTAACATATTTACAGTTGGTACAGTTTTTTTATAAAGTTTTTTTATAAAGTTTTTTTATTTTGTTATAAAGAGTTGCATCATTAATCATGTTGTGTAATAATTAAGGATGATATTTCATTTGTGCGTTTTTATCGTATGACAAATTTTTTAAATCTGTTAATTGGTTATAGGATAGAGAGATCTGAGAACCTCTGTCCTCTACACATTTGTCATACAATAAAAACGTAAAAATGAAATAATACAAATAATGAATTAACAAATGAAATTGAATGAAGCACCCTAATGATATAAGAAAGAGTCAGGGCCAGAGATCGAACAAGAGAATTTCAATTTTATTATGTATTATCAGAGAGAAGCTTATTCTCTCTCTCTATTTAGTACAAGCTTTGCGATATTCAATACAACATAAAGGTTGGAAATTCATTACTGGGGCACAGTGAAAGAAATAGAGACTGAAATTGGAAATCTACCAGCCAGAAGAAGAAGAAGAAGAAGAAAGAGGAATGTGAGATTTGCGAGTGAAAGATGTCTGCCTTGAAAGTTCTATGTATTATTATTTTGATTGTATTCGTCGTGAGTGGCAGCGAATTCGGATTTTGTAAGGCGCCTGACGAATGCATTGTGGATTCAAGATGCATCGCTGAGAATCGCTTCACAAAAAAACGGTCAGGAATTATTGAGATTTTATGCTAAAAAAATTTACGAATTTGTTTCATCAAGTTTCATTAATTCTTTAAACTAAGATTTTTTGCAAAAAAAAACAAAACTGTAAAACGCTAATCAAATCTCATTGTTTATATTTATATATATTTCAAATTTATATCTTTTAAATTTTAATATAACCTGGAAGTCACATACATCAATATTTTTTTTTATTCAAATTTTTATAATACTATGTGACATAAAGTTACCATATATTTCTATATATATTTATCTCATGTATATTTATATTTTATAAATCTCAATGACAAAGTTTTATGTATATACATTTCCTAAATCTCATCAAGATGTCTTAAACATGACTAAAAAAATATATAAAAAGTATATCTAACTTTCTCATTGAAATTTATAAACATATAGAGTAATATATATGGAAATATATGGTAACTTTATGTCACATGATATTATAGACTGAAGAAGCTCTTTTGTTTATTTTTTCCTTTTGTTTATGTTTTTCTGTTTCTTGACAAATGAAATGAAAATTATAAAAATGAATAAATTCACTAGAATACTTATAATTTCATTGGTCAATGTTTAGATGAACATTTGAATTTACTCACTTTTGTAATTTTTATTTCATTTTAAAGTATAAAATCGATCCTAAATAAAGTATATTTTCTTTACAGTTATATCCTTTATGATGTGAATCCTGCAGAAGGCTTCAATTTGAGAAGAGATGTGTACATTCGTATTGCCGTTTTCTTAAGAAAATTAATTGAGAGGGACAAGGAATTCCAGTGGCAACTAGTTTTGCCACCATGGAGTAATTTATGAACTAAAGATATATTCCGTGAGCTTTATTATTTATAATGAGCATTATAAATAATCTTAATCTTTGTTTTAGGTAATCTATACCACTGGCGAAGCAGGAATATAGGATCCCAAGAGCGTTTACTTTGGGGTACCTTTTTTGACATTACGAGTTTGCAACTGTATATACCTGTCATTGAGATGTACGAATTTGTGGAAGGTACATTTCTTTATGTTTTTTTCTTAACTGTTGAGAACTAATCTTCAAGGAACAAAGTCAAAGTATAAAATAAAACAAGACTTGTCAATAAACATATATAAATTATTCAGAATTTAATTTTTGAATTATAATGTTTTATTATTGTACAATGTTTGACTAGCAGATATTCATAGAATATTTGGCTCAAAAACTATAATTTTCTAAAGTATGCTATATGCTTTATGCTTTATTTCTCTTCCTCTTTTGGAAAATGCAGTTTGATGTATACTTTTTTTGTAATCTAATGCGGATTCTGTAGATTTAAGAATAATTCTGTATTGAATTTCTATTATATATATTCTATTATATAAATTAAAAATACAAAATTCTCAGTATAAATAATAAATAGAAAGTTTAAAGGCGAATGAGAATCAGAATATAAAACGTATTTTTTAAGATGTAATATTGAATATATTATTTCATAGAAACTAAAAATTTTGTAATAAAAAAAAATTACATAATTGAAATATTCTTACGTGTGAATACAAAATTAAAAAACGTAAATGCTAAAAATATAAAATATGTATAACAATATGAAAAAAAAAGAATTTTTAACCAAATTATATGAATGTATGTTGCTAACACTATCAATTGATTTAGTGGCTACATCATATGCTTTCACTTGAGAAGCAAGTTTGTGAAAATCAATAATTATTATCAATTTATACTTCTCTCATATGCCTATGATGTAGCCACTTTAATTTTTCAATTGTAAGCAACATACATTCATATAATGTTGAAAATTTTCTTTTCTATATTGTTATATTTTATATTTTTATATGCGTTTTTTAATTTTGTATACTCACATGTAAGGATATTTCAATTATGTAATCTTTTTTAATTTTTATTAAAAATTTTTTAGTTTCTAAGAAATAATATATTCGATATGACATCTTAAAAAATACGTTTTTCACATTCTGATTCACCCTTAAATTTTCTATCTATTATTATATTCTATATATACATAATATATAGATTATATATATATATATATACATATTTTATATATATAATTCTTATTTTTTTAATGATATTATGAGATTTGATATAAATGATTTATTTGACTGTATAACAGCTTGATTTTAGAGTACTCATGTGGGAACAGAGAGGTGCAACTTGATCGTCTGTACATTCTACAAAATGATGAGGAAATGTTCAAGACAGGTAAATTCGAGGATAAAAACGAGCTGATAGATTGCGATCATAATTCTTTGCGATATCATAAATTAAAACAACATATGTACACTGGTCCATTCTGGGGCTATTCTAGTGAAATGTCTTAAATTCCATGGCATGGCACAAGACCTTTCCCAGAATCTCATACCAACGCGATACAGGTAAAATATTCTGGATGTTTCTATATCGCTTTTTTTAAGAATCTTACTAGCATTCTTACACAGATCCGTAATGTTTGATCGCATGGAGATTGCTTTACATGACGAATATGGATCTAAAGAATATTGGAGAGCTAGACGCAGCATGCGTTATAATTCTGAATTGTACGATATCGCGGAAGATTATAGGAAAACTTTCCTGAATTCTACGAATAAGAATGATAATACGGAGCGACCAGCGGATTGGACTAAGGAGAAGGTATATTGTGATTGTTATTTTTTTTATATTATAGTAATAATAAATTATAGCTATGGATTCTAAGTTCAGAATCGGCGAAACGCAAGAGGTGGGCCATATTTGGCGGTTCATCTTAGAAGACGTGATTTTATCGTAGCTCACAAGGCGTCGGTACCGACAATAATGAATACTGCCTTACAATTACAAAAAAGAATGGCTAAGCTTGGGCTAACCCTATTGTTTATTGCGACAGATGCAGAGCAATATGGTATATACATTTTGTATAAACTTTTGTATAAACGGTTTAAGAATTTTACGAATTCTTAAATTGTTGGAAAGTCTTTTGTAAATTTTTTTAGCCAATACGTGATCAATTTTTTTCTAAATATATTGAAAAATATTGAAACTTATAATTTTTGATTGACTATAATAATAGCAAATAATAAATAAAACAAATAATAAAGAAAATAATCAGATTAAATAAATGATCTAGTAAACTATTCTCAAAGAAAAAAGAAGTAATGTTCTAATTATCATATTTTTGTTGATTCTAAATCAATTTTACTTTTCAAGAGAAATTTTTTAATTTACGAAAATTTTAATTTTAGTTAATAAATATGGAATGTTAAACGTTATAATGATTTTTTTTTTAATAATTTCGTCCGAAGGAAAAGTCCCATATATACTGAATACAAGTTATTGAGAAGAATATGAACAAAAAATAAATAATATTTGAATCATAATTTTCAGAATTTGAAGAACTTAAGTTGTATTTACCTCAGTATAAAGTCATGAAATATGTGCCATCTGATTACGTGATAAATAAATTTAAAGATGGTGGAGTCGCCATCATTGATCAAATAATCTGTTCATATGCCAGGTAAGAATGTTTATATGATGATTGATTGTAAATAGGGTGTTAAATATAGATTTTTCTTTCAATAAAAAAAAAATTGTCTTTTATAAATGCTAATACATAGCTTATGATAATATAGAAATTTCATATAACTTTGTTTTTTCTTTTTAAATAGATATTTTATAGGAACATATGAATCTACGTTTACGTTCAGAATACAAGAAGACAGGGAGATTATCGGGTTTCCATCAGATACTACATTTAATAAATTATGTAAGACTAATGAGGATTGTACAATAGATGGATTCTGGTCGATTGTCTGGTAATATTTTGCTTTAATAATTCAGAGTCTTTGTAAATTTTTTTATAATTATTATTCATCCTTTTTCAATCAATTTCAATTTAGTCGATGTAACAACTATAAATTGTACAAAATGTTTCTCTTTACAAACTTTTTATCTTAAGAAAGATCTAAATATATACTAAAAACTGATCTTATCGTACATCATTTAAATCCGCACTTATAAAATTCATGATACATGGCAGAAAAATATAAAGACAGTAAGCGAATCGGTCAATTATTGTAGAGAAAGTAAAGCAATAATGTAACTAGTAGCAAATCTAAAATATTAATTTGTTTACTGTGTGTATGAAGTGACGTATCATTTCGTAGAAACTTAATTATTTTTGAGAGTTTTGAGTGTATTTTTTTTAAATAATTATATATGTTAAGACATTTTAATCATACACATAAGTTAGAACCGTAAAAAGTTACTATCATATTAGAAATAGATATGAATCATACGTTTGATAATTATTCAAAAATTTTCATTAATTTTCATTGTCATTATTAATATTTATATGAACAGAATAATATAATTATTACAAACTAAAGAAGATTAAATAAAATTGCAAAGTTTTTTTATTATTATACGGTTATGACAATAAATTGAATAGTGCCTAAAGATTAACATAGATTGGATCTGTATTTAGGGAATGCTATCAATGCTATTGTGTCATCTAAGATGTCCTTAGGGTGAAATTACACGGTACGGAATAGAACTGCGGAATAGAGAATGCACTTCTAATGTGTGATAAAGAAAGAACAAAAACTTTTTAGTTACATGTAATTAAAAAAAAATCTATAGGCATAAAATTAGCACGAAGAAAAGTACAAAATTACTTCCATTTAAAAAAATTACATATTTTTTAATAATATAAATATTAAAATTCTTTTTTTTTAATAATAAAAATATCTCTGTAAAATACTAAAAATTAGTTTTTTATTGTATAAGAATTATTTTTGTTATTTCATATAATTTACAAATAAAATATTAATATTAAATTTATTGGTAAATATATAGAAAAGAACGACCTCTAATGATCTTAATCTTGACATATGTTATCAAGATCATGATCCTGAGTGATTAACAGATTTTAGGTGGTGGTACTGTCAAAATTTTGAATTGAACAGTATTCACAAAGCTAATATTATTTTTAGGTTGAAAAGCATAGAGATATGCTCCATGCAATTCCTATAAATGAATAAAAATGCATTCAGGATTGAAAAGCATTCATTTTAACATTCGTGAATCAATATTTTTGAAAATCTGAATCCATTTCAATTCATTTAAATCCATTCGTTTGCTGGGATCGTATTGACTATGATGCTAGCACTAACAGCACTGCAGCCAATACGGAAATTAAAAAATTATGATTAAAAGGTTCGTGGGAAGAGTTGAGAAAAGAAAACTGTATTGGAATTTCATTGATAATTCCATTAGATGATTTGAACAGACTTTGAAGCGAAATATGCGTGCGCATAATCTCTTAATACATTATCAGCGTGTCATTAGGCGTGTCGTATTGCGATTACGGCGAGTACTTTTTCTACTATTAGTGAAAATTGCCTGTCACTCACTTTTATGCAATGTCACGGATATTAATTGCGCAGTACAGTTGCGGTTCAATAACAGAAAATAATTATTGAACTATTTTATTCTTCCTTATAGTTAGTATACTATTATGAATACCGTTAGTATACTATTATCCGTTTGATTACGAACATTACAATCAATAAACTATTTAGCTATAAAACTTAATTGAGATATTATAGATTGTACAGCATTTTGAGATTAGCAATTTGGATTATAAACAAATTATTATTTTTATTTTGTAAAGTTAAGAATGTAGAGATAATAATGTCAAATAATAATGATATCCTTATCGACAATTTATTGTTGTTGAAACAAGATCTGCAAATTCTGTTACATATTAAAGTTTAATTAAAATATAGATATTTTTACAGAAAAGATATAAATAAAAGTCATTTCTTATTCTTCCAGTATTTAAATAATTATTATAAAATTATATTTAATTATTATATTAGTTTAATTATTATATTGATTTTATATAGTATTATATATAATTTTGTTTTAAAATTATTTATAAATAGCATATGTGTTAAATTAATTATTAAATTACAGGATTATATCTATAAAGAAATTTTTCTATAAACTTAAAACGCTTTTTTTTTATAAGATATATGATAATATATCATTTTATTTATATAATTTAATTAAAACAGAACGCTTTTCTTCCAATAATTCTTCCAAAAAAAATATATATATATATTCGTATAAAATATATACATTCGAATTTCAGTTAAACTTATTTATTTCGCGAAGTTGTTTCAGTTATTACACGATTTTTATTGTATTTTTATCTATGATATTCTTTTACAATTTTATAATTAGAAGATCTTCCTAGTAAACGAGAATGGATTAAAATGTTTTTAATGTGTACTTTAAATCCATGAAAATATGGATTGAAATGGATTGGATCCGAGTTGACACTTTAATATTCGGAAAAAAAAAACATTCATATTTAAGGGTTATAAATTTTATTCCTAAGACATTTATAATAATTATACCTGAAATTAACTGCTTCAGATTGTGGTATTAAAAAACGCTCCTTAGTGAGATCTCTCATGGATTATGTGAATCTTTTATGTTACTCGCTACAACACTTCTTCAATTGGTAAATGTGTTATTCATTCTCTACTTCAATTACAATCAGCTAAACCAGTGCACGAAATTGTATAGATATAATAAAAATATCATTATGTAACAGATATAATAAAATATAAACAATTTACATTACTATGAAATAACATTGGGTAAGTGTCAAATAATCTAATCTCGCTTGGCCGATGTCGAGCACCGTGATCAGTGTAATATTCGGGCGCTGTGTTCGACTTGGTTTGCGAATGTTCACGTCGATTATTTATTTTACTTCTAATTAAAGAAAAATAAAAGAACATAGCTCAATTATTTTTACGTTACAACTTTTTTGAACTTAGTTGGATTAAAACGAATTTCCTACTTATAATTTTGAATAATTTAAATAGCATTTATGGTCTATTTTTAAATAACTTTTTTTATTCAATTAGATTGAAAAATTTCATATTTAGAATATTGAATTGAGCAGTATTCACATTGCATAGAAATGACTGATAATATTATTTTTAAATTTAACTGAATTAAAACAACTGTACGTCCTATTATAATTTTGAATTGAGTAATATTCATGATGCACAGAAAATGCTAATATTATTTTTAGATTGAAAGGCATATGCTCTATGCAATTCCTATAAAGGAATAAAAATGCATTCAGAATTAAAAAACATGAACATTTACTTTAAGTAATTTCTATAAATGAATAAAAATGCATCAGATTGAAAAGGATTCATTTTAACATTTATGAATCCGTATTTCTGAAAATTTGAATTCATTTTAATCCATTTCAATCCATTCTCGTTTGCTGGGTTGTTATACAAGAAATCGCATTCTTGTTTCATTAAGATCGCTTCCGCTCCCTTTCATTCGAGTGAAACGCTTTTTAACGAGGATTCATACGTGTATACGAAGAGAAAAGCCTCTTTTTCCCATACATGATACTTGTACATTCACATAATACTTTTCATGTGGCGACACGGCAGATGTCTTGCTCGTGATAAACTTACGAAGATTATGTCGTTTTACGTAACACACGGCCGTCTTAATGTCTTAATTGACATCCTCCGATTGAAAAGCGTTATTATTTAACGCTATTATTTCGCAATATTAAATTCATCACTAATCGAAAAGTCATGTGGCAACTCCAGAGCGTTTGCGTAATTGCTTCATTTACTTCTTTAAAGAGTACAACTTAGATAACGGAGAATTTTCTTCTTCGATCTCGTAATATATTTTATCATGTATTCTTCTTTATCATTAATATTATAAAATGTGCAGCGATTTGTGAAAATTTCATTATCTTCATTTTATCCGCGAGATTTAGGGGCAGTTAATTTTGCGGATGTTGTACACCTCGAAGAAAGTAATAGCCGTGCAACTTATTTCTCGAGAAAATTGAAATTATTCAATAATTACAAGATACTCTGCAATTGAAGAGTACAGAATAGCTTTGAGATAACACAAAAAACAAATAATAAACAGAATGGAGTGCGTTAGCATGCGTGATTTTATTATATGGAAATCTCGTATAATATATATGCACATTGCGTTATATGCATATGCACTGGCGTTTACAAAGTAGCATGATAAAGTATGAGGTCAAGTAATAGACGAGTCTGAGATCTCGCAGATAATAATCTTGTGAAAATTCTTGTCTCTGTTTAATTATTTATATTTCCAGATTTCATAATACGGTTTGTAAACTACACGCGATTACTTAGCACGCAATACTTAGAATGCAAATTATAAAAGACTCTAGATATTAATATGTCAGTCTTTTATATTAAATAGTTCTTTATAATAATTATATAAACAGCATGTTATATTATTATATTAATCTTAAAGAATGAATAATATATAATAATATGTAATAAAGTATTTTCTTATATATAAAATATAATAATAATTATATACTAAATGTAATAACTATCCCCTTTCAAAGCTGTAAGGCAAGAAATAAATGTTTATCTAGTAATTATATTATTATATATAGGAACTATATGTTATTAAATACATAGTAACTATATATATGTGCGTGTGGATATTTTATTTTCATGATGCATGGAAAAAATGGCTTAGCTAAAATATTTAAAGTATCTAAATATAGATCTGAAAATAATTTTGTTGAACCATTAAAATAGTTATGGGACTCTCGAGCTGATCATAAGGTTGCAAAAAAATTTTGATATTTTAGCAACCTCTTTAAGTGTCTTGATATTATTTTAACAGTTTAACAAAATTATTTTCTAGCAAAATTTTTTAATATTTCGGTAAAATTATTAAAAAATTTAACTAGACCTGAATTGTATTTTTTCATGTCAGGAATTATAAGAGTCCGTTTTGAATATCAAATCAATATTTATCAAAAAAATTGATATTTAAGGCCGGTATTCATAATCGGATCGTATATTTAAGACCGTCTTAAGTACAAGCTTAAAGTGTCAATCAAAGAGCATTAGCATCATAAGACATTACTTAAGACGATCTTAAAATAAAAACGAACTATAAATGAATACCACTCTAAGTTCACGTTGAAGTTGCAATGTTTTTGCTAAAATATAGAGTCAATTATAATTTAAAATTAAAAATTGCGAGTTATAATTTTAAAGTTAATCAGATCTACATCATTCATTAATAAACTTGGTTTTATTATTTTTTAGGAATGTATAATCCAAAATTTTAATTAATTTAAAAGATGTATACACAACAGATGTACGGTAAGAATTTTATTAAATTATCTAAAAATTTAGCTAAACACAGATCTGAAAATAATTTTGTTGAATCATTAAAATAATGTAAGAAATTTAAGCATGATGAGGTAAAAAATTTCAGCTTGAATATCCTATATAATTAGTTTGATATCCTATATAATTATTTTAATATCCTATATATTATTTTGATATCCTACATAATTATTTTGCTTTAACAAAATTATTTTTAGATTTGTACATAGCGTACATTTTTAGCAACTAGAGATTAGAAACTAAAGACCTTAAACGGTCAAGGATCTTTAATACTTATAAATAATTCGGTGTAAATTTATATGTATAATTAATCCTGCGGGCCAAATTTAATTTTCAGTCTTGAAAATCCTAACAAAATTATAATATCACAAATTATATTATATATTTTTAGATACTTCAGCACGTCCA